CCCGATTTTTTTTGGCCCGGAGCAGGTTGAAACAAACGAATTTCCCTCTCGGGGTCCCGGTCTCCCCTTGGCTCTCCAGGCCTTTGCCAGCTGCCCTGAGAACAACGTGGACGCCTCGCAGCCGCTGCTGTTGCCGGAGGAGCGGATCGATCGATCGGCGAACGCGAATTTATATGTTGGGATTTCAATTAGGGAAAAAACAAAATTGCTCTAACGTTCGCGATGTTCGCTCAAATTCCCTGATACCTACTCAAAATTCACTACTTGATTACTGAATTTAAAGTGAAATTCAACAAACTGTTGGGACAACTCAGGGCTATGCTATTTGGTGAATCTTGCTGAAAGCTAAAGACAAACAGTGAAAGTCCAACCGGCATACAATTTGAAATACATATCGAGTTCAAATGTCACCAGCATGCCTTCCGACTTAGCATGTATCACATTGTAGCTTGAGGGAGCTTCAAAGCTTCTACTCATATACGGCCTTGCTTCACTAAGTTGTACCACACACATAGTGAGTTGTTGCGAACGTTGAGCACTCGTCAGCCGTACTTCAAGTTGCTGAAAACAGGGAAGCAATGAGGGAACATTAGCAGGGCTCCTTAAAGATACATTTTGCCCATTTGAAACATGGCGTTTTCCACCAAACAGAAGGGAAACCATCATTTATAAGGCAATGTTCAGGTGTATAATGTAAGGATCCCTGATTAGTGACATTTAGTGAACTTTAGTAAACAATGGACGTGGCCATCAATAGCTTGAGCTCCTTGCAAAAACAATGCATCTACTGGGCCGCGCTGTGTCAGCGCAAAGCTTTTGGACGTCTCCGACTATAAGCACCCGAGTCGGCAAATACTGTAAACAGCATGTGACCAGTGCAGAAAACACGCCAAACCAAACCTCCAACCCCTGAAGGCAAGAACCAACTGGTTACTCAACTCGACACTAGCCCAGCATGTTTTGGAAGCGACAGGCTAGTTGCACAGTTGCACTTGCACTTATTACAAAGGCCATGCGTCCGCCACTACACCATGCTGTCAAAGCTATGTCTTTGGAAAGTGCTCGCTTCATCAACGTCTGCAATGGTTTGGAATTCGTGCAGACGTGCCGGACCAAATAAAACGAACACCAAGCGAACCAGACAAAACGATACTCTGGCCCATCTACACACATTCACATGTTCAGCATAGCCAAGCGACCGATTTTCCTCCCCTCCCGGAATTGAGGGAGTCTGCAAAGCTCCCAGTCAGACCAGCCTGAGTGCGTCGAAATCTTCGGCACATGTCCGCCCAGCTTTTTTCCGGCAGCCGTCTTGCGGCTCGTCTCAGAGAAGATCCCGACTCAGGACTTCTACATGGATCGGTTTGGGGTCGTCTACAATCGCCTATGGCCACCCTTGCGCCCCGGCCAGTGGGAGGTGTCGTCCAGGGCCTCTTTCGCCGGGCTGCTGCCCAGACTGTGAGGGTCCCGCAACTTGTAAAAATCGGCCAGTCCCGACTTCCCATGGAGTGTGTTGCTTGGAGGTCTGTTGCTCATGGAAGTTGTGGGTGGTTCAATTTCCGCACCTTTCGACACGAGAGTTGGCCTAAGACATGCGCAGCTTGGTGATAAGTACATGACAACTAGACATGTGGCCCAAACATGCCCAAACAGTCGAGGACTTCTTGATCATTCTGCTCTTGTCCGGGCAGCTTTTCCGATTCGCTCGCACCGAGTGCGTGTCATTGCTGCCAGGATTGCTGGATTGGAGCCAATCGCGCATGCTCGCACATGTACGGTGTACGTTTGTGTTTGCCTTTGTGCTTGTGCGCTACAGTGCTTTGGGGCAGATGGCGGATCTGGTAATCTGCCCGAAACGGATCTTGAGCCGAGCCTCTTTGAGCAAGCTGGTTCTGGGCCCAGGTGGCCGACTGGACCTGTTGCTATGCGTTGGAAAGAAGGCAGTTGCCAGTTGCTTTCCAGTTGCAGTGATAAGTATTTAATGTTGACCTTTGATTTATTCCCCCACGATAGTAATCTAGAGTTCTCGGACAATGATTGAATTAAGAATCGATAGGTATTGATCAGGGAACAACTTCACCAGGGGCAGGTCACCCAAGGTGCAGCTTGCGATGTGACTCCATCCCGCCCGGGTACGAGAAGGCTGGCCAAAAATCCGGCGGCTGCGAGCATTCGCATGCTGGGTACCTGGTTGAGCACACTTCCACAACTGATCTCTACCCGGTTTTGTGCATTCCCCATCCATGCGGGGTGGGGGTGCCTGCAACTTTCGGTCGCCTCTGACTGAGGGCGGCCTAAACTCCCGTCTGTTTGTTCTTTCTTTTTTTCCGAGACCGTTTAGTTTGAGCTGTAGGGCGGCCTAGTACCACGAACGGCTCACCTTGCTGTATTGAGTCATATTGAGTCTTTTGAAGCGCAATGTGATTCCGATTGCTCGAGTCTCGCCAAGGAGGTCCAGTCCCCAAAACGAATACCCATCTGCCAAACCGATGGCTCATCAACCAAGACCCGCCGATTCCTGGAATGAACAGAATGGGGATGTTTAATACCGGTGTGTTTAGTTTCGGCTCAGATGGCTGGGAAAGGGGGCTTCCATTCAGGGCACAGCGTGGCCACTTGACGGAGCCAAGTCTTATTGCCGGGATTTGGCCATGAGCGCAGACGATTTGGCACTTCTGAAGGCAGAGCACAGAGAGTTATTGGCTGTTTTGACGAGTTCCTCATGTTGACAGAAAGACAGATTAGAATCAAGGGGCACCAGAGCAGACTGAACAGGGGTTCAGTGAAAGCAGTGGGGACAAAACCTCACTTGCCCAAGGCCGACCTTTAACCTTTTGGATTCCCAGTTGGTCAAGTTTTAGTCAAGGTTCCAAAAGGTTAACCAGTGTTATGTCCAAGTCCTGGCAAGTGAGAAATGGAACAAACAAGTTTCTCGTTTGTTTGAACTGAATTGCACTCCGGTTCTGTGCAGGTTTACGGCCAGTGGCGCTGCGCCAACGGGTTCCTGGGCACCGCGCAGAAGGGCTGCGGCCCGCGGGGCGCCTGTCGGGAGGCGGGCGGAGCTTTGGGTTACCTCGGAGCTCTTTGGATTCCCGAGAGCTCCGAGAGCTGGATGCTTTTCCATTGCTGAAGTGCCCAGTTGCCCAGTGGCGCCCTTTTTTCATCTCTTTCTGGGGAAGGGTTCCCCTTTAAACTCAACCGACCAAAAAAGGATGCCCTTTTTTTCCCATGGCCACTGGGCATCTGAGAGTGCTGTTTTGTGTTAGCCCTTGGAACAAAATCCATGGAAGGAAGGGAGCCGGACACGGAGCTGATATCCAAATTTGCCTTGGGAGCCAAGGAAGATGTCGAGTCCTGTAAGAACATGCGGGCATACCACACCACGGATGAATCCGGAGAACCCCCCTCCCGAAACAGATGATTTCCTTGCTAAAGGGGCACCCACCCCTGATTAGAGCCGTCCCCGGATTGTTCGTGAACATCAACCGCTAGGTTGGTTTAAAGGGAGCCCACAAGGAAAAGCAAAACCCATTTTGCAGAGCGGATGTAAAAAACGAGTGGATGTTGGGTGATATGTTGGCTGCAACCTGAAAATCCCTTTCTAGGCTAGTTCCGAAAGTATATGGTTAAGGCCCAGTTAAGGCCTGGCATTGATTTTGGCGAGAGGTTCAAACTGAACAAACATGCGAGAGGAAGCTTCAGGAACACCATGTTTTGTTTAGATTGAAAGGAGTTTAGCCCTTTGGCCCGGAATTCTCGGAGCTCGCGAACGAAAGAAAGGAGTTGAGATTGACGAGATTGACCTTTTCTCAAGTTGGAAAGTTGGAGCACCTTGGCCAGTTCCAGTGCGATTGGCAGAAAAGGCACCGAGGTTGAAACGTGTTGGCAGGGTTTTCCTATGTGTTTGCTGACTGGCCCAAGTGGTCCAAACCAAACAAGGGTGGCTTTTTTGAGTGGTATGGGTGAGCAGGCCATCAATTGAAACTCAACTTGAAGCTCTTGTCATGAGGGGTTCCCAGGCGTGATACGTTCCGAAGTGGCATGCAGAGCAAGCAGGGTTAGAGGGGGTTGGGATGTGCAAGCTTAGCACATAGCAAGCCATGTAGACAGAACAACCATGCGCAGTAGGTCTGTGGCGGATGTCATCTCGCTTTGAACTGTGTGCTGAAGAGATCACTGATTTCCACGTGTTTGGCACAGTGACATCCTATGACAGACCACCCAAACCAACATATAACAAACCTTGCTTCGGCGGTGTCGGGCATTTGGCCCAACATGGGCATGTCTCAAGATGTTTTTGTCAGCCAACAGGGAAAGGATTTATATAGGAAGTCTCCCTTTTTCGAGGCAGACTCATACTTTTTTTGTTCTGGTCTCCTTACAAGGCGGCTGTAAGGCAGGAAAGTACGCGGCGAAACACTTTGGTGCGAGATTGGCCTCCGATGACGGAAAGCGCTTCTTGAAGCGCTGGGAGTTAGTGTACGAAGTTGTGGGGGGGGGGGGGGGCAACCTCGTTCCGGGTGATTTGCAGGTCTGGTCAGCCGAAAAATACTCCCAAAAAATGGGAGCTTTTTTTGGAGCACTTTCTGCCACCGCAAGGCTGGTTTTTGGTGTTTTTCCCTGTGTTTTTCGCGCTTTTTCGTCGACGCTGCCTGTCATGTCTGACCTTTTCGTCTGTGGCTCTCGCGGGCCAAAAAGCGTGCCAGTTTTACATCATTTTACTTTGCTTCCGGCCTCGCCGGACTTAACCGCACAAGGGGTGCCGGGGATGCAGGGGATGCCGGGGATGCAGGGGATGTCGCTTGTTTTGGAAGTTTTTGTGGTGGTCGGCGATGCTGGGGATGTCGCAGGAAAATACTCCCATTTTTTGGGAGTATTTTTTGGAGCACTTTCTGCCACCGCAAGGCTGGTTTGCAGGTCCCAGGGAGACGACGCGGGGTGTGTAAGTACGTGCGCTGGTTTGGGTTGTTGCTTGTATGTGATTCAGTGCAGGAGGGTTGTGCAGTTCTTGGTTTACTTGGGTCAAGCTGGCAAGGGACAGCAAGGGACAGCAAGGCAAAGCAAATCAAACCAAGGGAAAGCAAGGGCAAAGGAAGCGAAAGTAGGGGAAAGCAAGCCAGGCAAGGGAAAGCAAGGCAAAGCAAGGGACAGCAATGGACAGCAAGGGAAAGCAAGCAACAGCACGGGCAAAACAAGTCAAAGCAAAGGAAAGCAAGGTAAAGCAAGGGACAGCAACAAAAAAGCAAGGGAAAGCAAGGGAAACACAAGGGAAAGCAAGGGACAGCAAGGCAAAGCAAGCGAAAGCACAGGCAAAGCAAAGGAAAGGAAGGGATAGCAAGCAAGGGACTGCAAGGGAAATCAGGGGAAAGCAAGGGAAAGGGAAAGCAATGGAAAGCAAGGCAAAGGAAAGCAAAGGACCGCAAGGGACAGCAAGGGAAAGCAAGGGAAACCAAGGGAAAGAAAGGGACAGCAAGGGAAAGCAAGGGAAAGGGAAAGCAAGGACAATCAAAGGGAAGCATGGGAAGGCAAGCAGAAGCAATGGAAAACAAGGGAGAGCAAGGCAAAGCAAGCAAAAGCACGGGCAAAGCAAGGCAAAGCAAAGGAACACAAGGGACAGCAAGGGAAAGGGAAAACAAGGGAAAGCAAAGACAAGCAAAGGAAAGCAAGGGACAGCAAGGGAAAGCAAGGGAAAACAAGGGAGAGCAAGGCAAAGCAAGCAAAAGCACGGGCAAAGCAAGGGAAAGAAAGGGAAAGGGAAAGCAGGGACAAGCAAACGAAAGCAAGGGACAGCCAGGGAAGGCAAGGGAAAGCAAGGGAAAACAAGGGAGAGCAAGGCAAAGCAAGCAAAAGCACGGGCAAAGCAAGGCAAAGCAAAGGAAGGCAAGGGAAAGCAAGGGAAAGCAAGTGAAAGGGAAAACAAGTGAAAGCAAGGGATAGCAGGGCAAAGAAAGCAAAAGCATGGGCAAAGCAACGCAAAGCAAAGGAACACAAGGGAAAGGAAGGGACAGCAAGGCAAAGCAAGCAAAAGCACGGGCAAAGCAAGGCAAAGCAAGGGAAAGCAAGAGACAGCAAGACAGCAAGGCAAAGCAAGCAAAAGCACGGGCACAGAAAGGCAAAGCAAAGGAAAGCAAGGGACAGCAAGGGAACACAAGGGAAAACAAGGGAAAACAAGGGAAAGCAAGGGACAGCAAGGCAAGGGAAGCAAGGGAAAACAAGGTAAAGCAAGGGGCAGCAAGGCAAAGCAAGCAAAAGCACGGGCAAAGCAAGGGACAGCAAGGGAAAGCAAGCGAAAACAAGGGAAAGCACGGGACAGCAAGGCAAAGCAAGCTAAAGCACGGGCAAAGCAAGGCAAAGCAAAGGAAAGCAAGGGACAGCAAGGGAAAGCAAGGAAATGGGAAAGCAGCGGAAAGGGAAAGCAAGAGAAAAAGCAAGGTCAAGCGAAGGAAGGCAAGGGAAAGCAAGGGAAAACAAGGGAAAGCCATCGCATGCCGTGGCAGGCGCTTTCCGTTGTTTGCCGGACTGGTTTGCAGGTTTTCTGGCTGGGAGGTTGCCAAGAATACCTGTTTAGACCCTGGTGTCGCCTTGCGGTTGCTAAGGGGAGACCAGAAAGGGCCCAGAACACAGATTCATTGTCTTCCCATAAATAGTCCGATCTTCCCTTGACCATTCAACCCCATTTGAAATTCGTGTTTGCTTCAACGCAGGAGTTTTGGCTAGTCACATTCCACACGCTAACTTGCGAGGCCATCCAGCTGGAAGGCTGCTCCCAATTGCTTCCATGCAGCATGGCAGATATTTTGCGCGTTCGACCACATCACCAGGCAACGCCTGTCTGAACCCCATGACCATTCCAACCCCCAAAGAGTTTTGAAGATGACATGTTTGTTTGGCTTGTTGGAACCTATAATCTTGGACATGCAGCTGTGCGCTTGTGTTGAATTGGTTGCCGTGATTGGGTGCTAACCACGCTGCTGTGCCTGTGGCAATTTAAAGGCATGCACGTCACCTGCGAAGTTGCGGACTCACCATTTTGTGGGCCATTGCTCGTTGGTTCCTCACCGCTTGCCAGCCATTCCTTGCTGCATTTGCGTCTTACTGTAGCATGCCCAGGGCGTTTGAATGGCAGCTCTGATCAAAAGGTTTCAGGGGAACTGCCAAAAAGAAAGGGCCTCTCAACTTGTTGTGCCTGCACGCCTCAAGGTCCCATACTGGTATGGGACTCCAAGAGTTGTTTCGGGGATCCTGAAGTTGTGTCTGCCAAACTGCTGGTGCCAGGTTGCATTGCATGAACATGCTCATTTTGCCCAAGACAAGTCCCCTCTGTTTGAGACGTTAGCCACAATCCAAACCCGGGGTTTCGGCACAGTCCCAGCAAGGGTGCGACCGGTTTAGTCGATGTTTCTCGGCAGGTTCCTCAGGATGTACTTGGAACATCTCAACCGGCAGAAGACATTTCGATGAGGTGACTCCAACTTTGGGAAGTCAGGCCTTTCGTTTTGCGGACGGATTTTGTCGACTCGGTGCGAATCAAGAACCTCAATGAGAAAGCAGTGAGCGTCGCGACAGATTGCTTAAGGGCGTGACAGAAAGAAAGGACTGGAATAGAACCCTGATATCAACCGTGCATCAATAATGGGGCAACGCCACCCATGCTAGCAGGAATCATTTTTATTTGTTTTTGAGTTTGGCCGCTTGCTCCCCCATGTACAAGCCCTCACAAGATCTTGCATCTACTAGAGAGCTCAAGCTGCATATATGTATGAAGCTTCTCACTCCCCGAGTTCCTGGACTTTACCTGCGACCATTGAATTGGTAAACTTGGGAAAGAGACCACTGTCATCCACCCGCTTCCCGAGTTGGACTGAAAGCTTGAGCAGACCATCCATATCTTTGGGGACTGGGAGACATGTGGAGATTACAACAATCCGGGGATCCCCTTTGAGGGATCATCAAATCGGCACGAAGAAACACGGCGGCACCGGTGCCAAGGCACTATCCCCGATCTGGATGACCGGATCTCAGTGCGAGTTTTGTTGGGGGCGTCAAGAACATGGAACCCTCGGAAAATAACATGAACTTACTTCTCGAGCTCCGGCACTTTGTACTTTTTGAACAAAAGTTTGGACCGTTTAGCCAATCCACGCAGGAAGTCTGTGAAAGGGATGTGTCTAAAATCGGACTTGGATCCCAAGAATAGATTTCGGTGTTCCTTTTGGGTTGCCTGAAACCCACGCAAGAAAAGGCCCCCGCAGCGTATTTGTGGCCAAAGATCGCTCCCCTCCAGCAGCCTTGGGACTGCATATAAGACAGGCATGCTTCTTCGGCACTGCCGCAAGACTCAACCCCCAAATGAGCAGCTAAGTTACTACATGGTTTTGCGAAGATCGCAGTAGCCCCCATAGCAATCTTCAAGACCATACGTATTGCTAGAGCAAAACTCAATGGATGAATGCTACGGTCTGCTGGTCAATGGATGGCACATGGGCAGAGGAAGCGGGAAGCAGAACTGCGATAGGATTTCCACCTTTACAGGCGAAACCGTCCGGATCGTCAGAGGCTTGCCAGTTCGACGTCAGCGGGTGCGGAGGCTTTCAGCGCGGAACCAGCTGCGAGGCTGGATGTTTTTCGTAACAACAACATTTGTGAATAGACACGACTCATGCAGTAAAGCTGGTTCAAGAGCCAGAAGATCCAGTTGCCCTATGGGTGAGGCGTTGTCTTCTTTGCCGCTGGCAAGAGCACAAATTGTGGGGGTTCGACTCCTCCCTGGATCGTATGACTCCTCCCTGGATCGTATGTTGGATTTCTCATTTTGTGTATTTGCGAATTTCAAAACACAAGATGTTCCGTGTTTCAGTCACCTGCGCGAGGATCGAAACCCCACCAGACCCGGCCCGGAACTGGAGGACATGTCTTGATTGGACAACCAGGGATCCCCCTTATTTCGTAGCGCTGTCTGAAATGTCTGCTCCAAACTTCGGTGAGAAGTGGTGCTGGTCCTTCGCCAGAACTCGGCAACCTTAGGTTGCGAGCCAACTCGAAAAAACCACGAGTTCCAGTTTGGGCTCCCAAACAAACTCAACCTGCGCAAATGCATCGACAGAATAACCAGTGCTCGCTTTTTTCAGAACGAGTTGATCCTTTTTGCTTTGTGCCCCTCGCGTCCCGCGCGGAACGTTCACGTGCCTCGAGTCCGGTCCGGCCAGGTGAAGTGTCGAGCTCCTTACAACGGCACATCCTCGCCCATGCGCGGCACTCCGCTGTGGGTGGGCCATTTTTGCGGGGTCTATTTCGTTGAACCTGTTGGGAATGTGCCTAGCCCTTTATGGAGAAACAAACATCCAAGTTGGTGTATAACGGTGGCCCATGACAAAAAATGGAAAGCTTGACGGCGTGTCTCAAATGATAAACGATTGCACAGGTTTGTCTCAAAATAGGAGCCCTTGTGTGTGGCGTTGAAGGGCAACAAACACGACCAATGTGTATTCAAAAGTGATCCTTGAGTAGTCATCCAGTTTTTATGCTTGTTGTAGGAAAGCAAGATTGTGATTTCCAATGGTCACGAAGTGGGCTTCACAGGGAGTCATCATTTGGAAAGCAATGCGAGGGGGGCCGCAGTGAGAAAAACCAGCCGTCACCACCACCACTACCATCATCATCATCATCATCATCATCATCATCATCATCATCATCATCATCATCACCATCACCATCATCAACATCAACATCAACATCAACATCAACATCAACATCAGCATCATCAACAACATCAGAAACATCATCATCACTATCACCACCATCATCATCATCATCATCATCATCATCATCATCATAATCATCACCATCATCATCATCATAATCATCACCATCATCATCATCATCATAATCATCATCATCATAATCATAATCACCACCATCATCATCATCACCATCACCAGAATAATTATCACCATTGCCATCACCACCATCACCAGCATTATCATTCTCACCGTCCTTTTTCACACAGCCACCCCTGGACAGAAGTCTTGCTCCATAGTGCCCAATGATGGGAGGAGTAATGGGCATTCACAATCGAATCTGGACGCAGCCGCCATGTAGCTTTGTCCTGCTTCTTTAAGGCTTGGATTTGGGGTTCGATGCTTCAGCTGTTGCGTCAGGGTGGTCTCATAGCCTATAACGTGCTGCACTATACGATGAAACTTGTGTGACGAATGCAACAACTTTCGGCCAGAGTGTCTCCATTGCACGTAAGTGCGCCATAAACCAGTAGCCATGGCTACTAAGCACCTACTCAGTATCCTACCACTTGAAGTGCGTCCCACATCATGTTGCGTCCGAGGTTCTGCCCAGTGAACAACACGGAGACGCAAGGAGGCACGTGTTGGCCCTTGCAGCTGCAGGCTGTTGCATGCAATGTGCTTGCATAGGGCCAAACACACCGGTCGTGGTACTGAGGCAACTTGATGTGCTTGAAACTGCTTTGAACACTTTGGCTCCGAATTGCCTTGGCTTAACTCACTCATCTCAAGTTTCGTTGAACACATTGCTTCCATTGCATAGCTTTGCGTGTCAGGTCCAACATCCAGCAGCATATATAGAGGAGGTTGCAATTTGCAGCATGCCCGCGCTTGGGCTTGGCAGCTACCAGTGAGAAGACTTTGTAAAAACATGGCTGTGATGTGTGTTACAATCTTTCTTTCTCAGTTTCCCAGCGGCACCCTGGGGCATGTCCGGGTATGGCGTTTTGGATGCATGCGCAGATATACCACCAATAAAAGCTTGCAACGCGGCACATATTATACCTTATACATATAATAGAAGTATATTAGCTCCATGCCTCCAAACCTGTACCTGAGCATGTCCTTGAATTGGGTGAAGAGAAGTGGAGGCACCCCGCCGTCCGAACTTGAGTGACGAGCGTGTTGTGCCCTAGGATACTCGATCCAATGTGACTCACGAAGGTGATGCTTATTGGGTTTGGACCTTTTGCCTGGGAGAGACTTTTAGGCTTGTTATTGGCAATCCGCTCAATCCATTGGGTGCCCATGCAATACTTGCATCAAGATCCAAGTGGCTGTGTCTTTGTTGTGGAGGTACCCCTTTTTGGTGGTTTTAAAGGGAAACCGAGAGCAATAACTGCCATTTTTGGGGAGTCCCGTACAGTCTATATCAAGGCTTGCCGTCGCGCCGGATGAAACTGCGCGCAGGTCTCGTCGGGGAGATGCCGGACTGCGAAATCGAGGCGGTCAATTTCAAATTGTTGGTTCTGAGTGTGGACTTGCTACGCTCGACTTAAAGGGTCGATTGCCTGGCAACTACAAGGGGATGGGACTCCGGGACAGTGGCCCAAATCCAGGCGAGTCGAGATGGATTTACATAGATTGACACGTCGCAAGAAAGTGCAGTATACATTTTGATTTCACGATATGGCTTGTTCCCATCTTTGGCACTTGTGGCACCTTTATTCGCATTGGCACGGGGATGGACAGGCTGAGTGATACAAACATGGCAGGCATGTGCAGATCCAGATGTCATACCTCCGGGCTATGTGCGCATTGCCCCTTGGATGCTACGAACGCCAAGCCCTGTCTGGGAAAGTGGTGACAACCGCGCGGCGTCGAGCAAATGCCCAGTAGATGTATGAATTTATCCTTTTTTGTGTAACAATTTGTATGGAACCCAAATTCAAGTGAAGAGGCAAACCCCTTTTGGGGGTCCATTTTGAGTTGCAGGAGTGGACATGGCGTGTTGGCGCATCATACTTCTTGGCGTCTCGCATAGATGCGACTGGCTGCTGCTCGGCGGCCGGCGCGGCCGCCTTTTTATTTTATTTTTATAATGGTATCCTTAAACAAGCCCCGCGCGGCTTGCGTTTAGAGCGCCAAGGGAGTGCTGCCGGAGTAATTGTGTGTGTAAGCCGTAAAGGAGCGGTGTCCTGCTTGGTGGTCTTATGTTTTTTCCGGCTGCCAGGACACTTTTTGTAATGTATGTTTCTAGGGTGGGCTGCAGCCCCCAACTCCCCCTTGAAATTTACGTGTTTGCCAGGATGGCGCCGTGCAGTTGTATATTTCCTTGAGCGCTCAGAGTAGTTATGTCAACAGTTGTTCGGTTCCCAGGATGATGTCTGTCATGCGCCGCAACTTCCGCCGATCCTTTGATCTCGAACGTTGTTTAATCCCGAAAACTCTACTGGTCAGAAGAACTCCCCTAAATAGATAATTTCGTCAATTTCCTCACTACAAGGGTCGCCAGCCCTGATTAGTCTCCGAATTAATCCGAAGCCAACAATAGAAAACAAAGACAGAATGCCGCGCAACGCAGCCCACCAACCGTACCTCATGAGCCAAACTGGCGACAAATGAGGCCCCCTTCCGAAGCCACCCAGCCCGCAAGCCAGGGTGTAAAGCCAACGGCTCCCAGGATGCTACGACTTGCCGCAATTGCTGTCGCATTTATTTGAAAACGCCATAAATTACAACACGTTGGCCCTGAAGTAGAACACTGAGCCAAATCTAAACCGGGAACAACTCCCAAATGTACGCGCCAACTTGCATGCACGCAGGTTTATATGAATATACCAACTGCCACTGTCCAGACACTTTGGTATGCTTGGCCTGCGCAAGTGCTTAGTCCTGCGCACCACCCACGCGGACCCCATGGCAACGGTTTGGTTGGCCCAGCATCAACCCAGGGGGTGTAAAGGGCTGAATGCTTGGAACATCCTATCAGAACATCAGAACACAGCTTGGTTTTAGAGTTCCCAACCCCACTCCGATGTTTCAGGCTCTCAGAGCCGCCTTCGCAAAGCAAAGTGGTAAGTCATATCACAAGATCATCGTACTTCAGGCCCTTGCCCTCAATCATCTCACAGTTGCTGATTTAAAGTACCCCACGGATGCGCCGCGTCGCTCAGGATGGCCGCTGGGCCTGCGCCGCCGGGTTCACCGGGCTCGCGGAGAAGCGCTGCGTGGCGGAGAATCCGCTGCCCGTCTCGGAGAAGCAGGCGCTCACTTGAGCCGTGTCAAACGCCGAGGGGTTCCATTCGATGCGTTTGCGATGTCGATCAAGGTCATGTTCAGGTATGGGCTTCGCAGGTGTTGTACCACATATATACATATCACAGCACTGAGCCAAAATGCTGGAATTGTGAAGGGTCCATGCATACAATTTGATCTCGCTACAAGGGTTCCTGAGTGACCATGAAGTGACTGCGGGATTCTGACTTCCTCTACTCATCTTGCGCAACACAACTTTGGCTCTGCTGCAAATCGCACCATTGGAATGATTTTATGTGATGCAACATCACATACCGAACACATGCACTTCTAGATTATTCAGGGCAGCAAAAGAACTTGGTGTGGGAGTCGATCATGAAGATCTGGTTTATTGCTTCCGTCCATGGTTGTTTAGGAAAGGGCAATGGTAGTTTGGGACACATGTAGGAAGTAGCTCAGTGAACAAGTTAACATTGCAGAATGCAGAAGTTACAATTCAACATTCGGACCATTTGGATCCATCTAGATTGACAGATGCCTTTGCGATGCAAGAAACTCCTTTTTTGAGGAGCCACGATGCCAGGCGCGTTGTGTATACATACGCACGTATTTAGATGTATTCTGCATGTGTGTTTGCATGTCGATGGGCGGGGGTCAACCCTCCAGATCCAGCCGCCATGTTTTGGGAACCCCCCATTGCTCTTGAATCGCCAGCAAACACGCATGTCAAAAGATCACGGCGAGGTATCGCCATTGACAAGGTAACAATTAGGTGACGGCAACGCCAATGGAAAATAGAAGGGCTGAACAATGATTAACATTATGTTCCCATGATCATGACTTAGCTCAATGGTACCCCCACACCCCCCGTTTTTATTTTTTCTATGCATTGACCCGCAGCTCACAGTGACCCGTGAGGCACGCTTGGACCAGTATGGCCTAGAGCCCCCCAACTGTCTGGTCCGGGGCTACCTCACAGGCTGTGTGGCGCCTTGGCATGTGAAAAAGCGCAGGTCCCGAAGAAAGGGCGTGTCTCAAAGTGGAGGCACCCCAAGAACGGCATCGGTATTCCTTTTCGCTTGGCTTTGAAGCAGGGTAAACTGGACACTTTCTGTCCTTAAACATTACCTTCTCGGCCCAGCGGGTATCGGGATTTGGGCGATGTTTTCAGGTTGGAAATCTGAGGAGCCCTGTTGACTGGTCCCTTTTCCAAGCCTCCAGTTCGCCCCTTGGAGCTGGCCTCCGAACTGGCCTGTCGCCCAAAAGAAGCGGGTCTGCTTGTAGGAGACCAAGCGAGAAGCCCAGAAGCAAGATGGTTGGTGACATCTTGTTCTAGGTTGCTGACCGGCGTACAAGCAATCACGCTAAAGGTGGCTGGCGGTTCTTTGCCTTCTGTGCTTTTCGTTGTGCACTTTGCCAGGCCGGCCCGAAAATGTCACCTTTCTGTGCAACAACCACGAGTGTAGAAGATGTCGTTGAGCTGTCAGCAGGGCAATTCAAGGACATCATGAACAGCTCCTAGGGTACGTTTCATGATGCACCAGCACAAAATACTGCAGGAAGCGCTGCTAATCAACGGTCAGGTTTGTTTGAGCAAGAGCTACAAGTTGACTGTGTCTCACAATGGCGGACCTCACCAAACGGTTGCTTTCCCCTATGGCTTCCCTTTAGACAACTGCTAGTGTCCCAAATAGTGCAGGGCACCCTCCGTTTTTTTCAGACACACATTCGGGTTGTCGGACAATTCGGGTACCCCCCAAATGCTAGTTTCCTTTTGGTTTCCCTCCAGAGCAAACCAGGTAAGGGGGGTTCCAACAGAGAAGGCCTATCTCATTTGGGTGCTGGATCGAGGTGGCAGAGCCTTGCGCCGCACTGCTCATCGAGGACGGGTGTCGAGAGAAGTTGCACGGAAGGGTTCCTGAAAGGCGTACATTGACTATTTGTGTGTCTGTTTTTGCTTTGAAGGTACCTTTGGGGTGGGTTTAAAGGGGAACTTTAGGAACACCGTCCACTTCAAGGGTTCCCCCACTCTCCCCTGACTCTGATTTTCCCAAGCTGATTTATCCCGGTAGCATTCATGTGGGAAAGGGTCACCTATACTGGCAGAGGATGGTGTGGGCTTTGGATGTATCAGAGCGCTTTGAAGGCCTAGGGAGAAACGATGCCCTTATGTGGTTGGCACACCTCCCATAATTTCTAGATACGTATATGCTGAGCTGGCCTGCATATTAGTCCTATTTGTGTTCTGTCCCATCTGAACTCCAAAGCGCATGTTCTTGAAAGATACCACACATGCAGGTCACTGCATATCATCCCTGTTTGTTTTGTGTCCCATCTGCAAACTTAAATCAACCCCATTCTAATTGAACATCGAGTTTCTAATAAGAATCCATCGATATTCAGTTCTACTCAAATTCCGGTTGAATTGAATCGAAGTCCTTTTGAACAAGGAATTCATATTCAACGTCTAAGTTAAAGTTCAATTTCTGATTCACTTCTGTCCCTATTAGATTCTACTAAAACACAATGTTAACATGATAGTCATGGTTGGCAAGGCATTCCTCTTGAAACTCTCATTTTTAGCGACATCTTATATTATTGCTTGGTTCATTCAATTGTGTCCAACATCTTTTTGCAATCGCCATCCTATGTGATATAGGAAAGTTGAATGAGCTTTATTAAGGAGCTTCGCAAGAGGCTTTATAAGGAACTTTGCAAGCAGCTTCAGAACAATTTGCACAAGGACAAGGAGCCTTCAAAAGGAGCTTCATAAGGATCTTTGTAACCAGCCCTGGAATTGTATGGAGCCTTACAAGGAAGGGAGCCTTACAAGGAGCTGAGCCTTCCAACGAATGTTGCAATGAGCCATGTAAGAGCTTTATACGGAGCTTTTTTAGGAGCCTTGTAAGGAGTCTTGCAAGGAGGCTTACAGGGAGCCTTATGAGGCTTGAGTCATGCTCTAAAATCGAAATTCCAACTAAGTTCTGTCCTTGTTGAAGTCTCTTTAGATGCTAATATGCTCTTATTCAAAGCCCTATTTGGTAAGAAGTTCCCCTTTTGATCGTGATCTAGACAGGTCGCTGCATGCCGATTGCAGCTGTCGAAACTTTTTTGGTCGTAGGACAGCTGCAAGTTCAGCGTGCGATGTGACATGGAGATGGCCCAAGAGGCGCGCGCCTGGCATTTCATGCGTCGGAGGCATGGGGTGAGCCGGGGTTCCTTTGGGTCTTGACGCTTGGTGCAAACAGAGCCATGGCGTCTAAGAACTGAACAAGCCTTCCAAACCTCCACGTGTGAGCATGGGTTTGGCTTCGCGCTTGTGTTTGTTTGGGTCTGCATGGGTTTGGGCAGCTCGAATTCGTTGACACACGCGTGACCACCTTAACACTGGTCTCCGGGATGGGCGCCCGGCTCCGATGCGAAGCACATTTGGGTATGTGTGTGTGTGTGCCTCAAGACCCCAAGCAGGGTACTGTGTATACAGGCTTGCGCATGCCCTTTCAATGCACGTGCAGATGTGGGCCATGTTTGCTTGCCTGGGCAAAGTACCATTGCAATGGATCCAGGGTCTGAGGAAAGGACTGACTTGAGGGATGGTTTGTCCCTAAAGTGTGTGTGTGTGTGGTTTTTGGGGCAACCCCTTGGTTGCCTACTATGGTAACAAGCAGGTGAGATAGCCCGGTTGAACGCCCAAACAACCCATTGGCAACTTTAGCAGGTTCTACTGTCGGAACTTAGGAAGGTGATGTAATTGTATAAATCTCGTCGCCCTGTATGGAGAGCTTCCTGAATAGCTCACGATGTAGATCCTTTACTTGGGCATGCAACTCTTTCTCATGGAGAACATTTAAATGCGGAGGACTCCATGCATTTTGTTCAACTCTCTCTTTTTTTTGTGCAGATAACTTCCGCCTGCAGATTTTTGGGGCAGGTTTTGTTTTTTTCCGATCTCTGGGTAGCGGGCCCCGGGGCACGGACGCGCGAGCCGCGCTCTGCCGCTCAGGGCCTGGTGGTCAACTCGCTGGCCGCCGGCCAGTCGTGCGAGGAACGGAGGGGTCTTTGGGGGAGCCGGCCTCCAAAACTCTGCTATGCTTCAGGGCAGACTACATCTGTAAGGCTACCTTTGTTTGGCTTTTTTGAAGGGACACCACACAGAAGCCACTTTTTTGTTGGAAGTCTCTGTGCGTTTTTTTTTGTCTCTGTGTGTCTGTGTCTGTGTCTGTGTCAGTGTCTGTGTCTGTGTCTGTGTCTGTGTCTATGTAAGTGTCTGGTCTGTCTGTCTGTCTGTCTGTCTGTCTGTCTGTCTGTCTGTCTGTCTGTCTGTCTGTCTGTCTGTCTGTCTGTCTGTCTGTCTGTCTGTCTGTCTGTCTGTCTGTCTGTCTGTCTGTCTGTCTGTCTGTCTGTCTGTCTGTCTGTCTGTCTGTCTGTCTGTCTGTCTGTCTGTCTGTCTGTCGTTTGTGTGCACGTCTGCGTACGTCCGTCCGTGCGTGCGTCCGCGCGTGCTTGCGTGCGTGGGTGTGTGTGTGTGTGCGTGTGTGTGTGTGTGCGATTTGGCATTCCATGAGAATTGTGAAGTTGGATGTCAGATTTCCTGCTCTGGCCCTATGAGTTGTATCTCGCAAACAACATCTGTGGTGAAGGCACAACGTCTTCTTCTTCTCAAGTGAAACATAATGAAGCTCAACATGAGTTCATTGCTTTTGCAAGACATTCCCGAACCTGCTGCGGAATGCGAAAGACGTCACAGTACTGTTGCAATCAAAATACGTAAATCATGGACATGAGACAGCTACTTGGGCGCAGATGCGAATACATTTTGTCATCGGATATCACGCCCCTCAAGGCTTGGGACCCATTTCTCTAAAGTGACCCTGGCCTCTTCGTACACACGATGCTGCACAAAATGCAAATGCGGACACTCGGTGTCAGCAAATGCTGCGGTGTTTGCACAACTTACAAGCAGTACTTTTGCCCCCCCAAACATACCTGGAAGGTTTATTTCCTCATGGGCCCTCCGCCCCTGGCACAAGAAAGTCCCCCTGCATGGAGCCTTCCGATGCAAAGGGCGGCCAATCTCCTTGATGGTCGCTCAAGTTGAGGCTCTTCATGTCGGACCCTTCGCCTGCTTTCTTCTGCCACAACGGGGGGGCAACCGTTACGCTCGCTGCAAGATCCGACATCCAATAAATATGTCATGTTGCCACACAGCTCTCACCTCAACAGGTTTCCTTCGGTTTGCCTTTTGCCAGTGTTTGATACGATGCCTCCTTTCAAGACGATGGATTCCTTCACCCGTTGCAAGGTGGTTTGCAAGCCGCCATACAAGGCGGGGCAGTGCGTGCTGGTCAGATATAGACGTCCAGAAGGCAAATCCGGGGGGGGGCCCAAAACTATTGTGTAGTTCAGGATAAACGAAATATTCAACTGCTTCAGGACCTATTTTTCGGAGTACCCTAGACGTGGGCAAAGGCTTCAGGTATGTTGAGGCCCAAACAGTAACATCGAACAAGATCTAACAACTCATGAAACATACCTTCCAAACCTGGAACTTCCATCGAAGTGCACCCGTCTTTGGCATGGGGCCTGCACTGCCATGCTTCGTTGTGAGAGGGTTCTGATTCGTGCACCGCTGTGTCAGAGCAATAAAGAAGCAGCGAGTGATGAGGACATGCTTTTGGATCATCCAATATTTTTTGGGGGGTTCGGCACACACACAACGCAGGCGTGTGAAAAGTAGCAGTTCGTCATCCCGAGACGTCATAGACGTCCATGTTTCTCCAGCTGGCTGCAGTAGGTTTTGCAACTCCAGTCCTGTTCCGATTTGTGGGACCTAGACCTTCCGGCCGATTCAAGACACCTGTTAAAAAAAGGAAAAACAGTTTGTAATTTACAAGTTGTGGCTACTACTTCCACGATGGTTTCGTTCATAGTCGTCAGGGTTGTCTTCCAAAGAAGAATAACAGCTAGCCAGAAACTGCAAGCTTATTGTTACATCTTGCTGGAAAATCCGGGTTCGACAAGCTCGTGAAGATGTGCCTCCCTTTTGAGCTCCCGCCTTTGCTGTCTCATTTTCCAGAAACAAACGTTGAAACCTTTTGGGGCCATGACTAAAATGGACCAACATAGGAAAATCAACAGGTCAAAAGGTCTTCTTTGAGCAAGTGAGTGGAGAATAAGGGCCCCTGAATTCTTGATGTGTTCTAAGAACAGTGCTTCTTGCTCTGCGTGTGCTCTCTGCAATCTCTGCGTGCGATAAGGCTGGCAATTGTTCACCGAACCCTTGGCAATGCTTTCGGGAAGCCCGGGAAGCCACGGATTTTGCTGGGTGTTTTTGGGCACCCCCCGTTTCGTGGCAGGAAATACTGCGTATAATGCGACCGAGCTCCTTGTAACTTCAATCTCTGATTGATATTTTAGTGCCTCCGGCTCAGGCCGCCGACATTACAGGCCTGCTTTCTTATTTGCGTCCCTTTGGAATTGTCCCCTTGCCCCCTTCCCCTCTGAGATTTTTGCCCCCCTTTCTTTGTTGAGATCCATTCTTCCTTTCCGCCCGAAGGCCTTTTCTCCCTCTGTTTTTTTCCCTTTTCCTCCCTAAGATGTTTTCACCCCTCTCCCTGTTGAGATCCTTTCCCCCCTTTCCCCCCTAAGGCCTTTTCCCCCCTGAGATCTTCTCCCTTTGCCTCCCTAAGATCTCCCAGATCGTCTCCCTTTCAGGGAGAAGATCTGGGAGAAAAGGACTTAGGGGGGAAAGCCCAACAGGGAAAGGGGGGAAAAGATTTAGGAAGGAAAAGGGAGAAGCTCTCAGGGGGGGGAAAGGCCTTAGGGGGGAAAGGGGGAAAAGGATCTCAGCGGGGGGGGGGGGGAAGATCTTAGGGAGGAAAGGGAGAAGATCTGGGGACAAAGGCCTTAGGGGGGAAAGGGGAGAAATGATCTCAACAGGGAAAGGGGTGGAAAAGATCTTAGGGCGGAAAGGGAGAAGATCTGGGAGAAAAAAGGCCAACAGGGAAAGGGGGGAAAGACCTAAGGAAGGAAAAGGGAGAAGCTCTCAGGGGGGGGAAAGGCCTGAGGGGGGAAAGGGTGGGAAGGATCTCAACAGGGAAAGGGGGGAAACAATCTTAGGAAGGAAAGGGAGAAGATCTGGAAAGGCCTTAAAGGGAAGGGGGGAAAGGATCTCAACAGGGAAAGGGGGCAAAGGATCTTAAGGAGGAATAGGAAGAAGATCTCAGCGGGGGGAAAGGCCGTAGGGGGGAAAGAGGGGAAAGGATCTCAACAGGGAAAGGGGGGGAAAGATCTCAGTGAAAAAGGGAGAAGGTCCCAGGCAGGGAAAAGGCCTTAGGGGGGAAAGGGGGAAAGGATCTCAACAGGGACAGGGGGCAAAGGATCTTAGGGAGGAAAAGGGAGAAGATCTGAAAAGGCCTTAGGGGGAAAAGGGGGAAAGGAGCTCAACAGGGAAAGGTGGGAGAAGATCCTAGGGAGGAAAAGGGAGAAGATCTCGGGGGAAAAGATCTTGGGGAGGACAAGGGAGAAGATCTCAGGGGGGGGAAGGCCTTAGGGGGGAAAGGGGGGAAAGGATCTCAACAGGGAAAGGGGGCAAAGGATCTTAGGGAGGAAAAGGGAGAAGATCTTGGGGGGGAAAACGCCTTAGGGGGGAAAGGGCGGGAAAGGATCTCAACAAGGAAAGGGGGGAAAAGATCTTAGGAAGGAAAAGGGGGAAGATCGCAGGGGGAAAAAAGGCCTTAGGGGGGAAAGGAGGGAAAGGATCTCAACAGGGAGAGGGGGGAAAACATCGTGGGGAGGAAAAGGGAAAAACTCAGAGGGAGAAAGGGCCTTAGGGGGGAAAGGGGGGATGGATCTCAACAGGGAAAAATGGCAAAAGATCTTAGGGAGGAAAAGGGAGAAGATCTCAGGGGGGGAAAGGCCTTAGGGGGGAAAGGGGGGAAAGGATCTGAGCAGGGAAAGGGGGGGAAAGATCTTAGGGAGGAAAGGGAGAAGATCTGGGGGCAAAGGCCTTAGGGGGGAAAGGGGAGAAATGATCTCAACAGGGAAAGGGGTGGAAAAGATCTTAGGGAGGAAAGGGAGAAGATCTGGGGGAAAAAAGGCCAACAGGGACAGGGGGGAAAGATCTAAGGAAGGAGAAGCTCTCAGGGGGGGAAAGGCCTCAGGGGGAAAGGGTGGGAAGGATCTCAACAGGGAAAGGGGGGAAACAATCTTAGGAAGGAAAGGGGGGGGAAGATCTTAGGGAGGAAAGGGAGAAGATCTGGGAGAAAAGGACTTAGGGGGGGAAGCCCAACAGGGAAAGGGGGGAAAAGATCTTAGGAAGGAACAGGGAGAAGCTCTCAGGGGGGGGAAAGGCCTTGGGAGGGAAAGGGGGGAAAGGATCTCAACAGGGAAAGGGTGGGAAAGATCTTAGGGAGGAAAGGGGGGGGAAGATCTTAGGGAGTCCTCCCTAAGATCTTCCCCCCCCCTTTCCTCCCTAAGATCTTTCCCACCCTTTCCCTGTTGAGATCCTTTCCCCCCTTTCCCTCCCAAGGCCTTTCCCCCCCTGAGAGCTTCTCGCTTTTCCTTCCTAAGATCTTTTCCCCCCTTTCCCTGTTGGCCTTTTTTCCCCAGATCTTCTCCCTTTCCTCCCGAAGATCTTTTCCACCCCTTGCCCTGTTGAGATCATTTCTCCCCTTTCCCCCCTAAGGCCTTTTTGCCCCAGATCTTCTGCCTTTCCTCCCTAAGATCTGGAAATGAAGGGGGGAAAGGGGGAAAGGATCTCAACAGCGAAAGGGGGGGAAAGATCTCAGGGAGGAAAGGGAGAAGATCTGGGGAAAAAATGCCTTAAGGGGGAAAGGGGGGAAAAGATCTTTGGGAGGAAAAGGGAAATCTTTCTCGGGGGGAACAGGCCCTAAGGGGCAATCGGGGGACAGGATCTCAATCGGGAAAGAGAGAAAAAACTTTGGGAAGAGAAGGGTGGAGATCTTGGGGGGAAAAGGCCTTAGGGGGGAAACGGGGGCAAGGATCTTAAGCGGGAAAGGGGGGAAGAGATCTTAGGGAGGCAAAGGGAGACGAACTCAGGGAAAAGGACTTAGGGAGGAAAGGGGGGGAAAGATCTTTGGGAGGAAAAGGGAGAAGAACTGAGGGTGGGAAAAAGCCTTAGAAGGAAAAGGGGGGAAATAAATGATCTCAACAAGGAACTGGGGGGGGGGTTCACCAGCATAGGCAACATCCCCAGCATCACTTGCATCATCCGCATCCTTGGCAGGCGCTGATGCGGATGATGCAGGTGATGCTGGCGATGTGCCGCTGGAGCTGCTAAGGATGCGAAAGCGCACCCGGGGGGAATCGAACACCCCAATGTTTTTGACAAACTGAGTTGCGCAAGCCCGCACAATGAACAGATTTAGTGAAGCGTCTTCGAATCACCGCGTGGTACGTGGACCCCCCCCCCGCAATAGTCTGAAATGCCCCTGGGGAGGGGTTAGGGGAGGGGTAACAGGTAAAGAGGTAAGGAGCATTTCTTATGTCCAACACGCCGCCTGTTGTCGGCGGATTTCAAATGTTTAAAGTATTAACCATATCTTGCAATAAGTACTTGCAAGAATATGCTCAAAATTACTTTTAGCTTCCTTTCCATTTCTTTTCCATGTCCTTTTTCATTCCCTTCCATTTCGTTTCTATCTCCTTTTCATTCCTTGCTTGAACTGTCCATCGCTATAAAGTATATGTACATGTCCTCTCCATTTGTTCCAAGTTATTTCCATTCCTTTCAATGTCAATGCAATTCCACTTCTTTTTCATTTCTTTGCAATGCTTTCGATCTTATTCCAACTCCTTCCCATGTCCATGCGAAAATTCCCAAGGCCAGGCGGAGCCGAAAAGTCTAGTTTCGCAATTTCACGCGTTAAGAAACTTGTCCTTCCCATTATCTTTACGGCCTTCCGCTCCTTGCCGTTTCCCATTCGTTTCTTGCCATTCCTTTCCATTCATGTGCATTCCAAGCTAGAAGTGCCCAAGGCCAGCCGTGACCGAGAAAGTACTCATTTCGCAATTACCTGCGTAAAGAATTTCATGGCATTCCCACTTTGTTTTTTGTCCATTCTATCCATTCCTAGAAATGTCGAAGGCCAGGGGGGAGGGGGCGAAGAAAGTCTAGTTTTGCAATTTCACGCGTGAAGATGTTATATAATAGCGCCGGGTGCCCTTTCCATGTCCTTATCGTGTCCTTTTCACTTCTTTGCATTTTCCTTCTTTTACCTGTTTGTTCATTTCCTCTCCCTTCCTCTTCCAGTTGTTCATTCCAAGCCATTTCCCCACCATTTCCTCGCCATGTTCTTTCAATGTCCTTCATTCCTTTCCATGTCCGTCAATGTTTCCCTTCCATGTCCTTTCCGCGTCTCGCCGTAACGACAGCATATAATGCTAGAATTTGAAAATTACGTGTATCGTTCCAGTTATGTTTGTCTCGCAATCACGATAACACATTGCAAGTGACAATAAGATATAAATTTATATGATAAGTCAGGACAAAAATGAAACACTAACATAGAAAGAGTTATTGAAACAGGGCCCGAAATTTTGTCGCGGTTTGGCGCCTGCTCTTAGAGGCACGGAGAGAAACCTGCGCCGAGAGCTTCCACAAGGAAACTCGCGCGGGGAACTTGCAGACGACACACGCCGCGCAGACAAACAAACACATCGCGCAGCAACGCAACACACACCCTCAGACGCGTACAAAACACACCAACCACACTCAACACGAACACACCCTAAACACACCACATACACACGACCCACGCACCCACACACACACAGAGCTCGAGGGAGCGCTGGAATTCCAAGGGGAGTTCTTCCCTTGTTGGGTTTTGCGAACGGAATTGGGAGTTTGTTTTTCTGCAGTTCAGCCCCTAGAAACACCATGGTTGACTCAATGGTTGACCCATTTTGGGTGATGAATCGAGGGCCGTGGCTGCCTCAATCTAGATGAAAGTCTTTGGGTGAACCACGGGCATGCTTTCATGGTTGAATAACCCAGAGACTCCCTTGGTTCAGTTGGAGGGCTCCCATCCCTCAGGCCGCCAGCAGTTTCATCCAATGCCCGGCCACGAACACCAACAGCTCCACGCCGCCGGCGCCGGCCTCAGAAGAAGCAAAGGGCCCCCGAAACGGTGGCCCAAAACAGCCTGGATCTAGGGAATCCTCTGACTCAGCCGGCCAACAACAGCAAAGACACACACGAACAAACAGGCAAGCAAGCACACAATTCGCAGACAAGCAAGCAAGCAGGCAAGCAAGCAGGCAAGCAAGCAGGCAAGCAAGCAGGCAAGCAAGCAGGCAAGCAAGCAGGCAAGCAAGATAAGGTGCTTGCAAAAGTTCCAGAATGCCACGTTCACATTGTTCTTGTGTTGCGAAAGGGAAGCACGCACTGAACGAGTTTCCCATCTGCGAAGGCGCTGCTGACGCAGTTTCTGTATTGCAACCACTCGCAACCGCGATTTTGAAGCCGCAGAAGCCGTGCGAAGGTTTCCCCAGATGCAGATTAACACACGCGTAGTCCTGCGCAATAGCCTAGAACACTACTCATTTAATGTTCCTGTAGAGTCTCTTTGAGGGGTCCAGGTTTCCCGAGCATTTGGGCTAGCAACAACACTTGCACCATCATTATGCACCCACTATGTATGGCTGGTGTCGTTTGTTCTTTGGGGGTCCCAAGATGAATGGGGCAATGCCCACATAGTGGTGGCTAACTTTACCGTTTGCTTTTTGTCTTATGAGTTGGTTGCTCGTTTGAGTTAGCGGACGTATTGCAGTCGGGTTGTGTTTTTGGTTTCTTGTCAGCGTCATCCTGAAACACGGGATATTCCAATTTTGAGGTATGGGTTATGGGTTAAATGTGTCAACACCTATAACCAGTTCCTTTGGTTCAGTGCAAAGCTGTCCCAAAAGTTTCTTTGGCGTCCTTTTGTGTTGAGGTTTCATTTTGATTTTCTTCGGGATGCCTGTTAACAACTTTCCGTTCGGTCTCAAGTTGAGTTTGGCTGGCTTTCCTTTTGGTTACGCAACCCCAAAAAAGGTGCCTCTCTAACATGAAACCCCCCAGCATCCCCCCGTTAATTTCCATGTGAATACCTCCCAGTGGTCATGGAAAAACGGGCGTGCCTTTAAGGGGATGGCAAACCAGGGGGCAGCGCAGTCCCCAGTTGGAGGGCGGATCGAAAAGTGCTTTGCAATTCCAAAAGGCTATTTGGGATTCCCTGAACTTATTTGGGCTTGGTTAGGGTTAGTTAGGGGTATTTAGGGTTATTTGGGGTGCTTTCCCCCCCCTCCCCCTCTCACATTTATTCCGGGCTATTTGGGGGGCTAATTTGAGGGCGAGTAAAGGTTTGCGGGGCTAAGTCTTTAAGTGTTTCATGAGTATGCCACACCAAGGCATATGTACGTACGTAGGTCTACCCAGGTCTACCCGACATCCCCAACCCTAAGCCCACTGGCCACCGGCCGCATCGTTTCAAAACCTTCGAAGGCGTGGCAGCCGCAGATTTGCGAGCTGGACTGCCCAGAGGTGAAGCCGCCTGAGGGTTACCAGGCAGCGAGCGCACCGGGTTGAGGGGGGGAGAGGATGCAACTGGTGCGTCGCTTTTCTCCTTTGGACCCGATGCCGGAATGACGCAATCATCGGTTTTCCTTGTAGGTTTCCCTCTACGGCCAAAGAAAGGGGCCCTCATAAAAGAGAGACCCAGTTGGGCTACGTACATAGCAGTTCTGGACGGCTGGGCGTGGTTTCGGGCTTCGTGTTTGGCGCTCTTTGATTTGGGAATTATTGAATACGATCCTCTTGGGTCGGGGACTTGCGTATGTTTGTTGGCGCTTCCTTTTTGCCATTAATGCATTTTGTGTCATGTTTGTACAAAGTAGAACGAGCTTGCCTCAAGACGACCCTTTTGCATCAGGGAGCTTCTCTGTCTTGAGTCTGTGAATGATTAATTGTAAAAGAGCAGCAGCCGCATGGTTCTTGAAGCTACAACCATGGCACACATGAACGTGCGCCCAAAGCTAGGAACGTTTCCAGCTGGCCTTGCTTGCGTTGGATATACTACGACTGATAGGTTGACACGGGTTCAGGCAATGGTGGGGCGACCCCTACGTAGTGAGCAGGAGAAAACCTCCGCAGGTCACGACGCACACCAGCAAAGGCCAAGTCGCACAGCGCAATACGAAACCCTGAGCAATAGACCCAGTTCTCAGGGTATTGATTCCACCGATAGGTCTTGGTTTAGGCAATGCCTCGCGGTTTTGGCGTGATAGTTATGAAGAACTGATTGACTGATTGCCGAGTTTGGCTCATGTTGCGCTGTCGCGTTGTGCTCTGCTAGGCCGCCAGGCTTTGCTCTGCTTGGGAATTGTTTGCGTGGCTTTGGTTTGCTCTAATTACTAACGTACGTGCTTGCTTGTTTGCTTGCTTGCTTGCTTGCTTGCCTGTCTGCCTGTCTGCCTGTCTGCTTGTCTGCCTGTCCGCCTGTCCGCCTGTCTGCCTGCTTGCTTGCTTGCCTGCCTGCTTGCTTGCTTTCTTTGGCAGACCGATTCAACCACCAATGTGATGATAGTTTAGGGGGATACGAGGTGTGACAAAGAGGATTGCTTTGGCTGATGCGGGCTGGCCTTTCATGCACCTTCGGGATGCCATCGTGACCGCTGCCACTCTCGGCCAGATGGAGCTGGAGTGGGGGCGCCCAGGTTCACATGGCAATGGCGGAATTCGAGCTGAGCATCCCCTTTTGAAACAGATGCTTGAATGTTGTTTGGGGGATCCTTGTAATTATATAGACTGTCTAGATCTATGACAGTGATCGAAGGTGTCTAGCCGACGATGCTACGATGCCACAAGGCTTCTAGGCTTCGAGGCGTCCAGGCAAATGATTTGAGAGCCAGCCACATGGATTCGGGGAAGGGGTTCCGTGGCACACGCTATTCGAGGAGCTCGATTTCCGCGGAACCCAAGGGGCATGACAAAATTCACTGACCCCACAGTGCTTCAGTTTGGCTGGCACAGATGGCCTGGCTAGCCTGCGATAAATCTGAGCATTGTCTTGCTACCCATTTCTGGCGATGTTGCGGCGATGCGGTTTGAGGAACAGCAGCAACATCAGCGAGGAGGAGGCCGGTGTGATTCGGGCAGGTTGGCCGTGCAAGGCTCCCCGACGTTCAGGAACAACGGGAATCCCTTTGGGCAAAGTGTAGCGAGCTCGATTGCGGGTACAACAAGCTCCATGTTCCATGTTTCTTTTAGGGATTGTCGGTTTGTTCTCATTTTAGCAATCGTCCACAAGGTGGAAAAGCAATGGGATTTCCCAATGAGGTGATGCTTTGGTGTGTACAAGATCCAAAAGGGCTGTGCCAGGTGCTGGAAGCTTTCCATCTGGATCGCGCAGATTTGTAGCTTACTGTGAAGACGTTGGCCAGGTGCATGCAGCAGCCTACGCAACGAACGCTCAGGTTTCAGGAACTTCACATGTTGAGAACGGTGTGAAGTTTGAAAGAAGCTTGTGTTACAAGAAACTTCTGGGCAAGGCTTAGTTTGCAACATGGTGCTTTCCTTTCCAAGTTCCAGCGGCCACTTTTTGGATCTTGTACAGATGCCAAAGGCCAAAGATTGGAGGCACAGCGCATTGGGCGAGGAGTCGACGGTAAAGAAATGTCTCTTTGCATGTCACAAGGCACTGGAATGTGTTGAATGTGGTTTAGTTGTTTTTGTCCGTCCATTTCTGGAATCTTGTCTAGCTCATATCATTTGAATTGACCCTGGAGATATTGCAGGTGTGGAAAAGGTTGTTGGACGGGCACTCTATTCCCAGGGATGGATATACTGAAAGCATGAGGGATATACCTCAAATTGGGGACCCTGTGTTGTGTTATTGGAACTGAAGTGCTCTCAGGAAAACGGATACCATTTCGTGGCTGTCAATACTACATTGGACTCATTGAACAAAGGTATTTCCTACAGCCCTAGACATGAGTGCCAACACAAGGTTCGCAAACTCTCGGGCGGCATGGAGGGGGGGGAATTTCCTTTCGGTTTCCCTGAAGCATCCACAATTTTTGGACATCTCCCAGTTACCCAGTGGTATCATGTTCTTTGTTGGGTGGACTTCCGTCAAAACGGGAGAAACAGATCAAGCAGAGGGTGTCCTTGATCGACGGATGTGGCTCCAAATTAGTGACCCTCGAAGCTTCAAACAAATCAGGGTCCCCTGTGTCCTTCGAGCCCCTCATCCGGAGACAGGAACCTCTCTAGGAAGTTAGTTCTTCCTGGACATAGCGATGGACAGACACCCCACAATTGCCTGGAAATACCTATGACGCAAACACACTTGTAGGAAAACATAAACACTCAACACTTCCTGGAACAAGCACTGACTCGCCAAAGCTTCCCACCCAAATTTCCTGAAACAAGCCGATCCAACCCAAAGTCCACAACAAAAGCGTGTTGTGGGGGGGTTCCATTTAACCACGACTCAAGCTTTTCGTAGCGGATCTGAGGACAGCCCAGAAACCAAATTCCACTTAAGAAGAGATCCGTTTCCAGCGAGACTTTTTTGTGCTGCATTGCCATCCTTGATCTTGCAGGTGCAGCTCCTTTGCGCGGAGGGCTTCACCGGCAGCCCCATCAGGAGCATTCATCGCTCAATGTTGATACAGGATATGGGTATGTTCCTTCAAAGGCAATTGAACCCCCACCAGAATTCCGTGTGTGTGTGTGGGTTCCCTTGTGGCTTCCCTTTGATTTAAGGTTAGAAAGGGGTGCCCTTGAACAACAAAACATTAACGAGCTCACCGATCCGGGCGTAAACCTAGCTTGGTGATGAAGGTCCCTTACTGAGGGATTCCTGATGCCGTTTGCAAATTTGATGGTCGGAGTTGAATATAGCTTTGACCCACACAGTCTCATGATAGGGCGCTATTCTCACAGACATGCTAAAGTTCCATGGTTGCAGGTCAACAAGCGCCTTGGCAGCTCCCGGCTATGCCGTTTGTCTGAAGTTGCCATTCTGGGCGGCCGGTCGCCAGTTTGGCGGGCCCTACTTTTCATTAATGGACCACCTTCGGAGTTCCCTCCAAGCAGGCACCCACCCAAGAAACAGCTGTACACACAAGAATATGGGAGTTTCTGGAAAAGCAGGAACCCCATTCACTGTTGTTTGGTTCACACCATCCAAAAGGGATTCCCCAATTCGAGACAACCCATCAAAACTCATACGTCACGTGAGGAGCTGCCAGTTGCTGGAGGGATGCCGCAGTGCGACTGTCTTCAGCGGCTGCCAAAGGCGGATCTGGGAAATCGCGATGGTCCCTTGCAGATTAACATGGAACCCGGCAAATGATCGATATTTATCGGAATCTCTCACTCCAGTTTTAAAGTCGGACTTTATACACTTTTGGGGTGACCAATTTGGTGGCAAACAGCACTTTGGGCTTTGGTTGGCCAATCCACTCAAGTGAGATCTCCTTTGGAAGGTTCCGGGTTCAAAGCAAAACGAGCACTGTACTTCTCACATTGGGTTGTCTCCTAAAGGAACCGCAAGAGGATGGATGGCACACCCGGACGGGTGACCAAACTGGGGGACTGGCGTGTTTTGAATCATGCGAATGAGTCCAGCGGGGAGCCAGATGGAGCGTGCCACTTGGACACTGTAAGCGCAGCAACACTGTTGAAAATATGGTCTTTTTGAGGGTACCCTTTTGTTTGTGGTTTGAAAGTCCATTTTGTGAACCCATATATTCCGTTTTGTGGATATCCTGAAGCGTCTGTTGGATCCCTTGAAATCACAAGGCCAATCAGCAACCATGAGGCAAAATTGGAGCCAGACCCTGGTAGCTTGGCCTTTTTCGGGGGCTAGTAGCTGTCCTACCCCTGTGGCAACCTAAAAGCTGTTCCAACAACAGTTTGAGTTCTGAATACGCCCTAGACGCACATGGTACCCAAACCAGAGGGTCCAGGAGATTCTTTACATCAGTGTTCAGTCAAAGATTTCCAGTATGCTTGAGGGACATGGGCAGGTCGTGCATTTTTATCACCAGACACTCACTCCTTTTCCCATGTTGAGTGGAATATGTGTCCTGCAGCCTGGTGCCCGGCGAGGCTTCGTCCTTGCGCTGCCTTCAGCAGTTTTGCCTGCGGCCTGCAGGACTGGGTTCTCTCAACCCTTGATGGCTTGGGGGGGGGGGGGTGACCTCTGGAGATCTCCATGTATGGCAACTAGAAACATGGAGGGGGACCCCTCTTTTTTTCCTGGCCCTTAAGGTATGGGGCATCCTGGCACGACTATTAGTCAAGTGCCTGGTTTGGTAAAAAGGAGCAGACTACAACGTTTGCAAGGCCTCAGCCTGAGTTTTGTTCAGATTCACTTGTCGAAATGTCTGCCTGCATTTTGAACAAACTCGCCCATGGCTAGAGAGGTAGAGAGAGAGTGTTGAAAAGAAAGCTAGTGTGTGGTTCATTCAGACCTCTGCCCGTTGTCCCGTGAGCCCTGTTGACGTGACAAAGAAGCGTGACTTAAGCCATAGCCATGCTGTATCAATTGCAAGCACCCTCCTTTGTTGCGATGTGCAAATGATCAACAGTGAGGACAGCCGTGAGCAGACTCAGGGGGCGATCGAATGTTGGTACAATGGGCGCAAGTCCTGTGCCAGTTGGTAAGTGGCTAACCTGGTATGCATAAGATTTATCCGGCTCACAGTATTATATTTGACCATCTACAATTGCATTTGGACCCCGAAATTGCTTTCATTGAAGCAGTAACGGAAGCTCTCCGCGAATGATGCTTCCCTCGGCGCCTGTAGCTATATATATATATATATATACTTCCCCGGTAGTTGAGGATGCATGTACAATATCTCTATGGCTATATGGCATGTATATATACACAAACATACATATGTGTGCACCGTATATCACATCATACATGCATACGTGTATATACTGTATCATGTTATACCATGCATATATGCAGACTGGAATCTTTCGCTGCGCAGGCCGACCCTTGCGGTCTGCCAGGGGAGATTTGCAAAGTCACTTGCAGCCAAGGCTGGCCTTCGTCATCGCGGGTTTGTGACACTCACACCCCTGAAGGGGACCCAGCAAACACCCCCTCTTGGGAAAGACTAAAATAAACTATTTTGGGGTGGGGGGGTTGGGGGGGGGTGTTGCGTTTGGGGGGGAGGGGTCCAGAGAAAGTTTTATGTGACATTGGAGTCTCCAAAGCTATGTTTTATGCTATGGACGAAATCCTGTACCACTTGGGATAGATGAACCATAAAACATGGGACAAACCAGCGTCAACCCCCTTTGGTTTGGAAGTACCCGTTTTGTCAAGATGAATCCAAGACGAATTTGCTGATCTTGGCAAGTGGGCTTGGTTCGCATGATAAACCTGTCCCCGGCATAGACGTGCAGAATTTAGTCGTTTCCCATTGTGTGAGGTGTGCACTGGATGGGACGATGTGCTGTAACGTCCGACTTGAAGTCATGAGAGCTTGGCATGGCAGGCAAACAGCAAGCGTGTAGGTACTCTGGATGGAGGTTCGCATTGATGAAGGCCTTCGAACGATCAGCACTGGGCGTTTGGGCCTAGATGTTCATTCGAATTGCGCAAGAAACAGCTGGCTATTGGCCACAGCGGGAACAAGTCCTTGAGTATGACCAAACCCTTTCAGATCGCAGTGCATGTGGTTTCATTTTTTCTGCGGATGGACCTCTGGAACCGAGAGTTGTATCGGATGTAGAGATTGCACGTCAAAAGGCCTTGAGGCCTAAATAACTCACAGGAATCCAAGATTCAGTGATTCATGTATAGGGAACAATTGCAAACACCGAGACTGAAATCAGTGTTTAGAAGGCTACGCCTGGGCCTGACTTCTTGTTTCAACCCCACCCGCTCTCCAAACCACCAACACATTTAAACTACATCCCAGGGAGCACCCCTTCTGTTTACTTTTCGGTTCCCAACAACTCCCAGTGGGGTGAAAAATCCCGGTGGGGTGGTCCCTTCGCAGGCTACGAAGGCGGGCCCTTCTTTGGCACTTGCCCCGCAGACAACACCGTGCCGCAGAGGCCGATCCGGGAGTCGTTTTTATTGGAGTTGGTCCCTCCCTGTCGGAGTGGGTTTAAAGCGAAACAAGAAGAAAAGCAATATCCATCTTGGGGGGTGGCCACCAAAAAAGAAGACAAGGGTTGCCCGGTGGTTTTGCTCTTGGTGTCCCTTTACACAACCTAGAGAGGTACAAAACCAATGAGCCCAAGCTCACTTAGGCCAAGGAGTTCCGTTTGATCACTGGCGCAGCTGGGTAGTTGCTTTGTGGACGTTGCTTCTTGGATTACTTCACTTGTTAGGACTTTTAACTTTTTGCCAACTACCGGGTTTTCTATTAAACCACTAAAACTTAAACTGTTAGCAGGGGAGCAGAAAGCCACCGAGGTTGGCTGATGGACAAAACGATCTCCGAGTGCTCCAAACGACCGACCGCCG